TTCAGGTGAAGGTCTACTCATGACATGAATAACACGTTCATTATCAACTGTTAACCTCAGAGTTGCCAAAACACCTGCAAAGTACAACATTAAAAACAGTGCTTGTTTCCCATTGATAATCACCGTTGTAATTATTACTGTACACCTTGTTCAATTCGGCACCGTATTCGACATGCTCGTGAAAACCTTTGCGGAAAGAAAGTATCTGAAAAGCACTAAAGGAATGATACTTTGAGGGCTGGGCAATTCTACGCAATCATTATCTCAATCATGTATGGACAGATTTAGACTAAGTATCCACACACTGAAGGCACCAACATCGGACCACACGCTTAAACTAATAAGCCATTTGCGAATTAACTTTGAATAAAATCTGTAACGCTGAATTCTTTAATTTGACGCGAACATAACTTGAATTCTTCATACTAAAACCACTGTTGCTATACCTCGTGATTCGGGGCAAGCTTTTGCATAGCGACCACCATCTCTGGGATGGTCTAGTTCTCTTATGTCCTTTTTCATTGAGAACAGTGTATCGTTGCAAGGCGTCTCTTATGTAACCAAGGAAAAGCTTGCCCCGAATCACGAGGCATAGCAACAGTGGCATTAGTATGGAGAATTCCAATTGTTATGTTCACGTAAATTAAAGAACTCAGTGTACCAGATTTTATTCAAATTTAACTCGCAAAAGGCTTATTGCAATATACGTGTCGTGCTTAACACTAATATTCATACTCAGGCTAGGTGCGTCTGACGATATTTAGCAAGAATGCATTTTATTGAAGTGGCGTTAAATTGAGCACGAGACCTCACTCGGCAAACAAGAAATCAAAGACTCCATACGAAACATGTACGTCAGTTGTTAGACGATAGCGTAATACTCAGGAGGGCGGCATTTTACCCACAGAGGAGATGCAATGAATTTCGTCGTGTGCAAGTAATGCAGAATATTTTCAGTGCCCTTTTCGCTGTGAAAAGTCAACCATTTAGTAAGTGCATAACAGTTCCCCAAAATTTCGAAATCTGTGCCCGATAATGATCAGCGATCAACCATGGAAATCATCGCGAGTGGAGTGTCCCTCACGCCCTCAACGTCAGCTTAGACGCGTGCTAATTCGTCGACAGCGAGCTTAGTGCGAAAGTTGCCTTGTACTTTGAAAAGCTAGATTCAAGAACATTTTCTGTCGGGTATTATCGAGCGTCTAACGATGAAACAGAAGGGGGCAGGGGTTGAAAAAAGGCCACTTTTATGTGTAGATATACACTTCGACATCCGACACACAGCATTAGCATTAGGATATATCTTAACGTATAATAATGCTCGTTCGAGTATGACTTCGATAATGCCGAGGCAGGTATGTAAGGAGAAAGACAAATCTTAGTTTGCGATTTCCACCATTTAGGTAAAGCAACCCTTTTGACTAATACACGTACCAGCTTCTTTTAGGCTGTTTATTTTACCTATCTTTTTACAGGGCATCATAACTTTTACGACACTGCTTCAAGGTTGACTCTTTCGGGGGAAACCGGTATGGTTGTTTGTACAATGCGCAAGTGAAATAGTAATTAGCAGACTGGCAACAAGTGAACGGCGCAGCATTTATCATCGAGTGGCCAGTGCTAAATGAATAGAGGCTTGTGGTAATTACATTGCGTGTGGGTTTAATCCATTACGCGCGCACCTTCATTCAGTACTGATCTTAGCGAGGCGTTCCTGCAACTTCACTTCAGTGCAAACTGTCTTCAGTGCCGACCACGTCCGCAGTACGTGACTTAAAGGACTTTCTTGTGATGAGAAAACCAACAACAAATTTATATCCGACAGACATTGATAGTTAACTAGGAATCTTTATAGTTTGGATGCCGCGGTCAAATTTTAATGAAAAATTAACAGAATAGATGACTATATTGAACAGTAACGAGGCCAATACATAAAGAAACGGGCGCACAAATACTGGCTCAAGGTCTCACGAGAACGAGTATATGGAACATTGTGTGAAACAATTAAAAATCGCAGGGCAAGCACTGTGAATTTCATTGCTACGTGAGCATTTATTTCATCTCTCTTTTAGATTAAGAAAGTGTTATAAATACACTGTACAGCAATAAAGAACAGACGTTGTTTCTTCAATATACACTGCAATTATTCGGAGGTACGAATTCAATGTCACCATGTATTTCATGTAAATGCACGAGCATCAACAATAACATAAGGCACGCTCATCGACATAAATCAGAAATCTGATCCCGTATTTTTACACTGTGGAACAACTACAATTCGGTTCCGGCAATATACCTGTTAATATTCAGGTATTGAGCTTCATGGCTGCTAGGGAAAGAAAAACCTACTTTCGTACCGACGATGATTCGTATCGTCTATGTTACTGTCGAGGCTGATGATATCTAAGTAATACAGTGTGGTGATCCAGACTTTAATGTGTGCACATGGCGGTGAACACATTTAAGAAATTTCTGCATGTTTTTAAAACAAAACTAATGACATTTCATAATTTGATACAGATATAATTCATCACCGGTAATGCATACTCATGTCTTGAGTGATCCTTTCTTACAGTCCAGGTATTTTGAAAAAAAGAAGAAACCTTCAAAACCCCCATGATGTATCCTCAACACACATCAAATAAGCTGGAACAGCGCAAACATATTGCGAAAAGGCTGATGAAAATATGAATACACGCCATATATGTGTGGTTTGGCTTCATATGTGTGATTGCATATATAGCACCACACACCTACGGACAAACAAAAAAGACACTTCATGATTCGATTCAAAATAAAAAAAAATGTTGCCGAAATATGCAGATATTCTACGGCATTACTCTCGCGCATCATAAACCGGGCCAAATGGGAATATTTTCCAATCCATTTTTCAAAATTAAATCAATTCAAAATAAAAAAGGAACATTTAAAAATGCCTAACCGTCGTTATCACACGCTCCTCTTGCCACACTTTGGGTCAAAGATGAAAAACTCATCTTGTTTGTTTGTTTGAAATAGTAAAAAAAAACAACTCATTTCAGAAGAACAGAAGTTATCAATTAAAAAACCCTCTCCACCCTATAGATGGGGTTCAGTTGTAAAATCTGGTATTTCGAGGGTAATCCTGTCTGGGTTTGTTGAAGTTCACTAAAATCAATCCGCACGTCCAGCATTTACTGCATCATTCACAACTAAAACACCGACAAGCAAACGACAGCACCGGTCCATAAAACAGAATACTACCAGAACATTTACAGATGAGTGGTGCCGTTTCCAATGTGAGGGTTCGAAAGTATGTCAAGAGTTTTTCAGGGAAGCAACCGACACTGCAAATAAACGGAAGTTGTCTTCTTCCCCGTACACAAGGACCTGCTCTCTGGAGTCGATACATGTAGTTTCATGTCATCCTGAAGTATTTCCCAACACGTCCTGGAGAAAACAAGCTCCTGTCTGGGCGGATTAAGTAGCGTCAGCTTCACAGAGGCAAAGAAACCTACACATTGTACGTTTTAAATTTTTTTTTACAGTGCGGAATACAAATTTGGGGAGCTTTGTTTGTTTTGACCACACAACTCAATTTACCACAGGTTTAATGAGTCGACACGAACACCACCCAGGTCTGAACCAACGTATAATTTTACATGGATTCCGGATGAATGAAGCTGTCTTCCTAAACTCTCTGATGTAACAATGAAGATAACACAGAATTCCAAGTCATCTTGCAGATTGACTGCGATTCAAATGACCTCAGCTTACACATTTTGCTCATCGTTTTTTCTTCTTTCATTATTAGCATCTCTATTAAACTACATTTAATTCACATCCTTAATGACAAAGATGCTTAACACCTTAATAAACACACTTAGGAAAACCTGATTTGCTGGCATGAGCGTGAATGGAGCATACATTGCGTGAGGGCCCATGGCTACACGCAGTATTAGCTCTGTATGCACAGAATGGTGACCATGGCAAACAAACAGCCATCAAATTCAGCCTGGGGCAGACATTACCTAGGGTAAACGTCAGAACATACTCTATCACTTGAGACTCCCTGATCCAAGACAGGGTACTGGTGCATTATCCTGCCTTACAAGCATCCAAATGAACAGCAGCCTCATGGAGGATTGCAACAGCTGCGTTTCAAATTTGGAGACAAAATGGCTTCAAACACCAGCAAATGGACACCATTTTCCATGCGGACTCTTGCGTGGCAAAACTTTCTCTTAAGGGTTTCTGACAACATCATGGGCTGCCGAGCAAAACCTGGCTACCAGCTAAAATAAAATGTGGTGTACACTGACTGTAACTGGTTCCCAGCTGAGTTTTGCTGATTCTCAAGTCACAATATACCAGAATGTAAAAAAAAGAAAAAAAAAAGCAAACTAAACCAAATACTGCAAGGGCTGCAGCTGTGTCATTTCACCTTTACCAGCTTTCATAAAACTAAGATATCATCACATAAATCACATCTGACGGTAGCCTGACAACAGAGGGCAGTGTTGATGTAAATTTTCACTGGAGCTGTGGTTGGAGAGTTGCTATACATAGTCCAGAGACATAAACAAAAATAGCTCATGTGCACAACGACATGTGCACAGGAGCCATCTTTCTGGGAACTGCTTTTGTTATGAAGGGATAGTGCAAAAGATCTACTCACTGGCTGAGTTCTGGTGGCTTGTTCTTATATGTTCACGAACAGCTCAAGTTGTTGTTTGTGGGTCGGCTGCTTGGACACCGGGAATGTACAACCGGTTATCGTTACCAGTTATTTGTACTTTGTAGCATGCAAGCAACATGCAACAAGGCAGCATCCTCGTGCATTCTTTGAGAGTTAATGTTTGGATAACTGGGCTAACTTCTTTTCCATTAAACATGTTAAAAGAAATCATATCTGTCATGGAAAATTATAAATGTCAATTTTGCAAAACTTTCTATTGTCTCCAGCTTTGTAAGCCATATTGATAGTTTTTGCAGCTTTTTAAAATCAAATTTCACGAGTTTTTCTGTGTGTTTGTGTAAAACCCTAACAAGGAGGTGGTGTGTGAACCTGTTCCGAAAATGGTGTTCTTGGGTCATGTTTCTGCCGTTCGAGCACGAGAACACAAAACATGTGTCAAGAAGGCCGCCCGAACCCGACCATCGGTACCCCTGTGGAACAAAAGCCCTCAAACAATGGTTTCCATGCACAACCTTTATTTGGTCTGGGCCACCTTCCAAGCCATGGCTTTGTCTGACTTCAAGCTTTCATGCTTGAGCCAATGAAATTACTACCAAATCTGGCTTCACTGTGCACAATTCACCATTCGTGTGGCAACATTTGGACAAATAAACCCATAATCAAGGCCCAAGACAGAGTCATCTGAGATAAAAGCTATTTGTTGGAGATGAAGTCAAAGGTTTGGAAACTGGCCTTAACATGTACATGGGCACTGGATCAGAGTAAAGCCACTTTAATATTCAAATTACTGAAATTCACAGTGAAACCAGGAACTTGGTGGCCTAACCAAAATTTCCCTTAAAAGACAATCTTTCTGAAATTCTCTTACATGGTCTCTGATTTCTGGCTTTTATGCATATGCTGGAAATTGAAAAAGATTTAGGAGGAAACCAAACATTCTTCAGTAGTCATTTTGATTGAACTGTGAGATATTGTTAAAGTTTTCTTACAGCAATTCTAATGTCTGTGGATCAAACTATTTGTACTTCACTGTAGATAACAAAAGAGAGAAAAAGAAATCGTATATCACCCAGTGAAGGCTGACCTTTTGAAAATGTAAATTTGGCTGAACTGCCAACTGATGGAACACAGCTACATGTACATCCACTAAGCAAAATCAAGAAAATCAAACCATCTTACAGTACACCACACCTTAGCATGAAGCAGGTGACACCACAGCTCAGTAGCGACGTTGATGCTGGGATGGGGGCAGAGGGTATGAACGCTGGGCCTAGAAGGGGGATAAAGAAGGAATGGTGAGAACTGAAAAAAGAGGTATGGAATAAGAAGTGAAATGTGAACCTCGAATGGGATGAACTTGTATGATAACAGCAGGTGCCTCCAATGTTGAATGAGAGTCTGGGTTATCATTAATCATATTCATTTGGGGCAATTGAACGTACAACAAGACAATCACAAGACATAGCGGGGTGCCCAGGAGAACATAAACGTCTAAAAGTAAACTGTCGCCAAAAGGCGTATGTCTCCAAAGACATGAGTGCGAGTCCCATGTCCTGAAGTCCCATGAGGAGCCATTTGAGAATCATTGTATCATTGTAAGAAAGTATCAGTGAATACAGAAAACTCCCTTTCTATCCTTTCTTATTTCTTCCAAGAGGTGTTCTTTGGGATCGGGGATTTTCAACTTGTGTATACAAACCAGTCACAACAAAATCAAAGCAACCTTGCAAACATTTTGGTACAACAGGTATGACTCAAAATGAGTCTGTACCATTCTCACTGCTTAAAATCTTCAAGAGATTTTCTCTCGATGTCTTGTGGTCCTTTTGACACAAATTTTGTGTGAACTGGACACAATCCCAGTGCAAAATGCCCAATGTTTTAATACAGGCAAGATAAAAAATGGAGCCCACTAATCTGGCCATTTGGCCTAGGCTTGAACACAAATGTTGAACCTTATGTGTATCATCATAATATATTACAGAACTATTTATAACAAAAATATCTGTTGCAGATGTATGGCGTGATGGATATCTTTATGAGTATGCCAAGTTTTCATAATTTCATCCCATTTGGCATGTGGACAGTCCTGCACACTTGGGTTTTTTTAGGGTTGTACTGTTTTAGTTTTGTATTTTGGTATGTAGTTTTGTAGTTTCTACAATGCCTATAATCACAATGCTCTCCATTTTCATATGACTGAGTTCTACATTCCTACAGAAACAAGCATTACGTTGGTGAACCTCATAAATCCAACTGATTTCCACTGAGCCAGGTTTATAACTCACAGTTCATATGGTTGGGTTGGGTGACACTGGCCTGGGTGGAATTTGAACTCTTGTCACACTAAAAATGCCACACCACAATGAAAGTAGCACCAAGTCTGGCCTAGGTCATCAGGCAGATGCTAAGTCTGATTTTTCACTGCAGAGATCGTAACAGGTACACAACTCATCAGCAATGCACAGGCCAATGACAGGAACGTTGTATCATCCACACACAAAGTACCAGGTAGCTGTAGCCACCCAAAGACAGTAAGCAGTCATATCGTGCATTTACTAATCAAAAAAATAAACCATCCAGTTTGGCTTTTTCACTGGAGGTTTGGGGAGTCTTCTTTTTTTCCCCTTCGCAATGTGCGAAAGTGAAAATGCTTATTCTAGTGGTGTATCCAGGTCTTGGATTCGGGGAGGACAAATGGAATTTTTTCCCTAAACGATTCTTCAACTGTTTTCAATCGTAACAGAATCCTCCCTCCTCCCCAAAGAAAGGTGGAAGTACTGTTTCTAGAATGCAGGTGCTTTTAGTTTCTGACAAAAAAAGGCACTGGGTAATTCTTTTGTGAATACAACTATTATTTTTTTCCCCCAAACTGGAAGTGCCTCTTGCATCCAGCCAATATGAACACTGATATTTCAGTATAAGCTATTAGCAATTTTGTTAAATTCAAGGTTGTATCACCAATATGATCATTATTTCAAACAGACCGGGTTACAGACTGGCATGAAAATACAACAACTCTTTTGAAGATAACTTGACCCCCCCCAAAAGGGTGAAAAATCACCTTCTAATGACCACTGAATATGCTTCAACATCCATGTCAACAATTCAACAGTATGTTTAAAATCACTCCAGGTGGAATAGCGTTGTTGAACTCAATACCAATCTCAACAATCCACTCTCCGTTCTCCCAGGAAGGTTTGATGACGATGACAAGGATGGGGCACATAAATTACTTGGACAACTTGACACTGCCAAGTTCAGTCACTCCAGGCATGTAAGTGTACTCAAATGAGTAAAAAAAAGTCCTTTAATTAACTCATCTGAACTAAGAACGGAGGAAAAAATGGATGAACTCAAATTGTCAGGACGTACAAATCACTCTTCTTTCTCTTGCTCCGCAAGTGTCATTAACAGATGAGGAGCAATCCTCACTCAGTGCACACGTGGAAGCACATTTAATCCCTGAGTGTTTTCAAATCCCTCTGCTATGCTCAGAAGAGGTCCAGAGAGGCAAACACACACTTTACAGTCCTTCAGACCTATATTAAATTGGGGGCTAACAAATGGCTCGATAAAATACTCTGGCCCCGTCTTACACCTGTATTTGTTTCTTTCCTGGGGGGGGGGAGGCAAACAGACCAGGAAATCATAAACCATAGTTCAATTCCAACTCCAACGAGCCAATAAAGCATGATGGTAAAAATGTCATTTATCTCCTTTCTTCTGTTATCTTTGTGGTGCCTTGATCTATCCCCTGCCAGCTCTTCCTTACACCGACTACCATAAATATCTGAAGTGGACTGGCACACAGGTGATCAACAGTATGTGGGGTGCTACTGTTTTATGAGGTGAGCAAACCGCAGGAAATTAACAGCTGAAATTAACAGCCGATCCATTCTGAATTTCGTTAAAAAAAAAAAAGGAATGAACTGACACTAGCTGAAGACGATTATCATAAATGTCTGGCGTGAGTTGCTCCCAGATAAAAAAAGCCCTTTACCCAAGGCCAAAAAATAAAGTCTCTGGTTTCTGGTCACTGCACGCGTTGCTGCAGACTTGTGTGACCTGCACGTTGGCAAAATAAAGAATTTCTTTATTTTGCATAAGACAATTTCCAAAGGTTGCTAAACCTACTTGATCAGCAGGAATTCAGCTACCGCATAATTTTAACATGCTTTTGATGGGTGGGGTTGAGTAATATGTATGGTGAAGAAATCTCCATAGGCCTCCATACACTTCAATTGGGTACTCTTATCAAATGACATCATTCGTGTATCTTTACACGAAGGCCGTGTCCAAAACACTTGGCTGTGACTTGATATTATGCAGGATTCTATGGGAAATGGCTGTGGATGCTGCCAAATACTTGGTGTAATTTTTAGCCATAGCCAATTGATTCGGACCTGGGCCCCAATCTGTGAAGCAAACAAACGAAAGTGGTCTCACATCCTGCTCACGTATACAAATTAAAAACACTTTTAAGCAACAAACAATGAGGGGCCAGTCTATTTCAGTGTCGGTGAGGCAGTGTTGGTACATACATTGTAAGCATGCAGGGGCGATGGACATCACGTTATGACAACCATACATGTATGTATGTCACTTGCCAAGAACAAAGGTAGATTAGAGTGAGAGGAGATTTTACTTTCTGAGCTGAAAAGTGGAACTGTTTTTCACAACTGATTTGTGACAACTGATTTGTAGCAGCTGATTTGTAGCAACTGATTTGTAACAAATGACAAAACTACACATGTGTAATAAATATTCATCTCTAACCCAACTCCTACACTGAGCGTCACTATGCAGTATCGTCATACTTTGAACACACACAAGTCCAACACACCATTCAGGCAAATTGTCATTACATGAATGCAGGATGCTGTGAAATGCCATTTTGCAATGGATAGGATAAACCCCTATACATGTAAATGTTGGCCAGTACAGTTCATATTGCAGCGCCGGCGGGTTCGGCCGGTGAGGCCACCAGCTCGGACCCGCATGGAGCTGGCTGGCTGCCCTCACTGGTATGCGAACGGCTTGCGGCTTTCTCGCCTCGCGCCTGCGCAGTCCCTGTCTAGACACCTGGTGTCTGGAGCTTTGTGTGTCAGACAGCCCTTTTGCTTTCGTGAAAAAAGACAGAGCAGTTTTGCCCGGAACGGAGATTTGAGCGTGACTGAGTAGTTCTTGTCAGCGTCAGAGCCCATAGACAGGACACGCTACAATATACACAAACAGACATGGCTGTGCTTTGCTGAATTCAATTTAAAAATTGAATCTCTACAGCGGTACTGTATATTCAATGTCGCGCAAGTTGACAGAACACTTCAAAAAAGTCACAACAAACTGAGGGGGAGGCGATTCTTTTATAAAGAAAAAAAAAATGGGATGACTGTCTTTGGAAAAAAATCCCCATTCTGCCTTGTCTCCCCCCCCATTTGATAAAACTTGGATATGATGCAGAATCACATGCCAAGGAATTATAGTTACTAATTTCTTTCTTCAAAATTTTCATCACATGCTATTTGTGAGGATCTATGCACAGAACAGCTAACTTGAATTTGAAATCTTTTAAATGTTAAAGGGCCGATTCTTGTGTGTGATGTTTTAAAGGAAAGCTCATTGGTTGATTTAGTTTTGAAATTACACTTAGTGCGGCAAATTGGCAATCTGCATATGACTGTAACAAAAATCACATGATGGCTTCAACCTTTAATAAAACGTCAATCACTTTTTCACAGGCAGTAAAATACATAGTCTTAACACTGGACAATGACATGATCTTAATTGTGCTCGCTGTAATTCCTTAGACAGGTTACAATTGTGAATAAAATGAAGACAAACACATTCAACCAAAGCCACTCAAATATGCCCCCCCCTCCAAGTTAAGCAGAACTCCCTCTCCCCACAGGCCCTGTAAGAGAGAATGAAGGACAATGCCAAGATCAACAAGGGATCGTTCTTGAATGGCAAACACAGCACAACTTCTACGAGTATGTTGGTATAACCTGGACCAGCGTGAATGAATAGAGCGCAAGGCTATGAAACGTGTTCTTGATGGCACTGTGTACATACAGACACAAAAGGAGGGAACAGTGCTGGAAGTCAAGGAACTTGTCCTGAATGGGACTGACCTGCCTAGTCCCCCCGCCCACCCACTAACTCATGCACACAAAGAACAAGTCAAGGCAGAGTTAATACGATGAAAAAAGTATGGGACTCCATCCCAAGTCCTAGGTACACTTTTCAACATCATGATCACCACGGCAA